CACTGTATATCTTCGGAGTGATTCGTTGGATTGCAACACCCAAATCAGTTTTATTTGTATGTGAGAGTCGTACAACTCTGCTACTAAAAATATCAGCGCTTTGAATATATTCCATAACTGTGTATGGAACATGATTTGACTGCTAATAACTTCCTTTGTGATCTCTGTTGCTGTGCTGTTTTATCTTTATAAAACAACAATATAATGTACACATCAACAACAATCATACACTGTTGTTATAACAAATGAATAAAGTGTTTTTGCCTTTGGTTTGCTTGACCGTGTTACCTTGCTCATCATCTTGAATCCTGTGTGAAGCAATTTCTTTGCAGCCTTGTAGTAGACAGTCTCTGGTCGGTTGTATACCATGGCATTGTCACACATCAGTTTAAAATCAGCCTGAGGAACAAAAAGTGTTCAGTCAACTATGAAGGCTGCAGGTTTAATGCCCAACATCTTTAAGCTGGGAAGAAAATCTAATTCACAATTAGATGTTAAAGGCACCCTCACCTTAAATTCTGTTACTGTTTTATAGTCATTGTTTCTATTCTTGTCTTTCATGGTGCTGAAGTCCATAGGATGTTTGATGATCATTGAGTAACCAGGAGCGATTGCGTCTGTTACTGGAGATGCAAAGAACCCATGGGGATCTTTCCTGGAAAGATGAGACACACCATCAATGTTATTGAAAGCACCAGCTTTTAGACTTGTTTAGACGTGCCCAGTGTTCTGATCTGATCAAGAATGTTATCTTTCAGGTCAAAATGGTCATTATTAATGGATCTTGCTGTGCTTTTATCAAACAAAGAATTTCATAATGTAGCCTTATTCACATGCCACATTTTGTAATCTGTGATAAACAAACAGGGCTTCCCCTCAGTTCTTCAAAAGAATAATAATTCATTATCTGCTAGGTTAATGTTTGAAAGTATGTCAAAGGAGCGATATTTATTGGCCATGTTCAAAATGTAGCATGCTGGTGTTCCACGACAGAACAGCAAATGCAAAATGCTCTATTTTTAGAACATTATTAGCAGGAAAGTAATGCGAACCTCCCTCTCTAAGAGAATATATGTGTTTATCTAAGCTCGTGCTAATCTGCCAAGTGGACTGTGGGAAAAGACACATGCAAAACTGACATTTTTAACCTACTGGTATAAAAAAGGAAACAGAACTACTGTGGACTGCGCTCATCGTAATATGTACAGTTAGGGCCACATATATTTGGACACTGACACAAGTTCTGTTTTTTTTAACCTGTTTACCGAAACATTTTCTAGTTATAGTTACATAATGGACATGGACATAATGTGTAGACTCAGCTTTCATTTGAGGGGATCAAATGCAATGAAGGTATCTGCGGTGCCTGCATTTGGAAGATTTTGCTGTAAACAGACAACACTGTTCTTACCTCTGCAGCTGCCTCAGAAAGTGTTCTAGCAGCTGTTGCCGTGGTGTGGACTCATTCTCTAAATCGGGCAAACATAAACTTACAAGTAAATTTTTGCCCAAATATAAAATGCTTGTAAAAACTATATGCGCTTATAGACAGGTAGTCTTGCCTTGCTGTGTCCGGCACGCTCTGACTGGCCTGTCTCCTGGTTGTTCTACGTCCACCTTCACAGTGGGGTGAAACTCCTCCCCTTCGGGCTCTATTTCAAACCGTTCTTTCTTCTTCTTTTTCTCTTCTGGCTGTAGAGACACACAGAATGTAAACAACTTGTCAAAAATAACCATAATAATTTATTGGTCACAATCTTAAGATTTAAGTTTTATCACCTCCAATCCAATACTTTTTGACAGTGTGAATGGTTCAACAGGTCCAGCACCACCACCACCACTACTACTACTAGCAACAGTCACTGCTGCCGCCTCTGATTCACTCTGCTCCCGCTCCCTCTTCTTCCTTTTCTCCTCCTGTGAAATGGTAAATAGTAAATGGACTGATTGTTATATAGCACTTTTCTACTCTCCCAGAGCACCCAAAACGTTTTATACAAGAAGCCTCATTCACACAAGCACTGTCTTTGACACTTAAGTGCAATCTACCGATCAAAAACATTCATACGTCAATGGATGCATCAGAGAGCATCAGTATCAGTATCTTGCCCAAAGATATATAGCATGCAGACTGGAGCAGCCAGAGATCAAACCACCAACCTTCCGATCAGTAGATGACCTGCTCTACCTCCTGAGCTACAGCCACCCCAATGATATGAAAGCCAATTAAAAAACAAACAACTTAAAAGTAGTAAATGGTGCATTAGTCACGCAGAAGAACGAAATTCAGCTACCTAACCTTTCTTCGCCTTCTCTCCTCATCATCTACATATTTGTCTTTATCCTTTTCAGATTTTTTCTTCTTCTTTTTCTTCTTTTCTTTGTGACGTTCTCGCTCGTGGTCTGATCTGTCATCGTAGTAGCTGGAGTCATGGCCGGACCCAGAGAGTTCAGTCACTTCGCTTCCTCCAACTTTGAGCACAAGCTTCAGAGGCTTCTCAAGAGCTTTGTCCTCATAGTCTACAACCAAAACGAAGAATTGGTAAAGGTATTGTGTCAGGCAATAGCAGTGACAAAGTAGAAGGGCAGTATGAAAGAAGTTGACATTAACATGCAGATTTTCTTTAAAAAAACGAAGGACTTTACACGCCAAACTGGTTATTATATAAAAAAAGGCATAATAAGCTCTCTGGTTTATATAAAATATAAGGCATAATAATCTCTGTTTATTTTTTATGTATGTATGTATTTTTTTCCTACTTACAACCCAAATACAGTTTGTAATTTTTAGAAGTGTTTTATAATAATTTATAACGTAAAACAAACAACAATAAGAACATAGTATACAACGTAATGCAGCAAAGTGATTAATGCGAGATTTTAGCTATACATAATTCCACCAGTAGATGAATGAATGAATGAATGGAGCTACTATACATAAACTAAACTCTGTCAGCTTTAATGCTAGCTAACATAATGCTAGCTAGAACAAAAGCGATGCTGCAGTGAGCGCTCGGTGTGCAAATAAAATGTGCTCTAATGTACCGTCAACTGTTCTCCATTCCGGTTTATGCTTCTTATGTTTTTTCCCCATGTTTCTGTTCAAATTCTCAAAGTCGTAAATTTATTCCAATTAACACTGGTCGCTAGCGTTAGCCTAGCTGTGAGAGAGACGGTCTTCTTCTTCTTCTTCTTTGTGTTTAACGGCGGTTGGCAACCAACGTAAAGCAGCATTACCGCCTCCTACTGTTCCGGAGTATGGGTCAGACAGTGAGTTTACAAGCTGTATCAACCCCCCCCAAAAAAAAATGCAAGAGAGACGGTGGGCAGATGTGACGCTACAAAAACTACTGTCGTATTTCCGGTTTAAACAAAACGCGCGGAATTCGACTCATAAATATCGGCAGCACACGGTTGATAGTAAAAATACACCAGATGTTTGATTGATACGACTAAACAGTTTGACGACGCTAATGTTTTAAGGTTTGGGTTTTGTTTTGTCACCTCAGCAGGTTATTTTGTTCAAATGAGGCAGCTGGGTTAGCTAGCTCACGTTTACAGCCTTACCCGGGTTAGCTAGCTTGCTAACGCGATGTAGTGATGGGTTTTGGTTCAGTACTTAATAAAATACAGAAGCTCTCTGAGACTTGCTGTTGTTAAAGCCGCAGTTATTGCTCTGGTGTTCACAGTTCTTCGGCAATGGAGGATGACAGGATGGAGACGGGAAACCTCACACCAAAAATCCATGTGGAAGTTCACGTTAAATCTGACAGGTGGGTAGTTTAATCCTAGTGTAAACAGTGAAGTTATTATTAGGTCAAACCCATACACAGGTGATAAAGGACATGAAAAGCTAAAATGCCTCCTTTGGTTTACTTTGACCCTTTGAACTCAAATGACTCCTTTTTTTCCACCAAAGATTTAAATATGTTTCAAGTCATGTCTGACGATAACGTTTGTTTAAAACAAATCAGCAATGGTATTGTCATAGTACCAGCCAGAAGCTAGATATATACACGCATGCCTTCTTGTGATTTGTGATTTGTCTTTCATATTTCAGCACAGCTAAACGGTCTGAGGTGAAAATGCATGTTCAGAGTTTACTGAACTGTCACAGCATGGTGTTTGGAAACTACGCATGGACAGAGTTTGACGATGACTTCCTTCAGAAGCATGTGGCATCTGTGGTTATAGCTGATCTAGAAGAAATAGTTACACAGGTCTGTTATTTCAGTTTGTTTTGGGGATGAAAGCTCTGCAGTATCATTGTATTAGTAAAGCTTTATACTTATTAATTTTTATTCTCCCTTTCAGCCCCTTGATTTGAAGAACTGCTGTGTCTCTTTTCACATCTTCACACTGAGCGAAGATGGACCTAGCATGCTCACTTTGGAGGAGGATGAGGAGCTTTCAGCAGCAAACCACTGGTTGCTGCCTGCAGGTAACACTGCGTTCAGTTTAATTCGCTTTACTGTCATTAAAGCAAAACCAGTGCAATAAATTGTCTCTTATAGGTAGGTTGCAGTTGTTGTTGTTGTTGTTGTTGTTGGCAGTGTGTGACAGTTTCTGGTCTAGTGATTGTGTGCAAAACAGTGTATGACTATGCATTTAATAAGTCATTCATAAAGGACTTTGCAACATATTGTTATAGAGACATGAGAAATTTACTGTCCTGGGGTGGAGAAAGGAAAAAATGAGCCTTGGTGGCATTTCAAAAACACTTGGTGTCAGTGTTTTTTGGTACCGTAGATATCTCTGATAACAGGTAGCTGATTGCTAACAGTACTCTCAGCTGCTGTGACTTTCCTCTGCAGTGCCCTTTCGTCAGCCAAGGCAGAGTTGCTGTACCAAACTGTAAGATGGGAACATGGAAAATAATGCTATAATATTTGTGCAGTGGTGAAGCTGGAGAAGTGGAGAAACTTGTTTTGTGACAAATGGGCCCTTTTCAGCCGCCTCATGAAGTGGTGGCGACACTAGGCCTTCTTTATCAGACGGGAGATAAAGAGACCAAATCAAGTCCTCAGCAATATAGACATCATTTCTTTGGTCTCTTTAACATTAAGGTCAAGGTTGTTTTTAGAGGACTGTATCACCAGATGCTGGATCTTCTTTTCATTGTTCTGTGGACCATCTTGTTTTTTTTATTAGATATTTGGACAGTCAATGTGACGCCATCTGCGTATAGTGGAGGATAATAGTATAATATAGGATGTATGTAGGATGGAAATGGTCGTTTGGGTATGTTCCAGCAACATCTATCATCAGGAGGTTCTCAGAAAAAACATCTCATTTAACAGGCAGTAAAGGACTGGAGAGCAATGATTGATGGTCACGATACGTTTCCAACGCAGCTTTAAAAAAGGAGGGGGAGAAGATATTGGATCCATGTGACCCTGCAATCTTCCTGCATTGAGTTACAAACTGACATATTTTAACCAAAATCTTTTTAAATGACATTTTTGTATCTTCATGGTACAAGGTCTGTGCTGAAATGTTTATGGATCATATTAAGAGTAGGAATGAGTATTATACAGCAGAAAGAATTGTGAAAATCTAGCGCTTATTTAAACGTTTCTTTACTTTTTGCTAGTATCAAAATTGGGATTTCATTTGTGTGTTTGAATCCAGCATGATCAAAACCTACTTTGCAAATGTATCAGTATTTTACATTATGATGTTCTTGTTACAAATGTACAGGCTACATGTTTCTGTCAAACAGGCCTCAAGATCCTGCTGCCATGTTGCTGGTGGAGCATCTGCTTTTTATTTCTTCTTTTTATGGGATAAAAATAAAATAATCTTGGTTTAGCATTCGAGATCTGTGGGTGTAAAGCTTGGTGAGCATGTTGTGCTACTGAGGACGATATTTTTTTTTCTTGTAGCTCATAAGCATTTTCTGTTCTATTATACATGTTAAATTGCTTTTTTCTTTTTAACAGCTGAATTTCATGGGATTTGGGAAAGTCTGGTTTATGAAACTGGAGTCAAAACTCAGGTAAAATAAATTACAGCTGTTTAGGAATTAGGAAAAATGATCAAATAACCTGATGTGTAACCTAATGCTTCTTAACTTTACCTTATTTCCCCTTTTCTCTAGCTCCTGGATTATGTCACAACAACAATTTATTTCTCAGACAAAAATGTTGACAGCAACCTGATTTCATGGAATCGTGTTGTTCTGCTTCATGGTAAATATTTAAGAAGGGAATTTCTACAGTGATTGTTATTACATTGGAACAAAGAGTAATGACTGTCTCTCTTTGTTTGCCCACATTCAGGACCTCCAGGCACAGGGAAAACATCACTGTGCAAAGCTCTCGCCCAGAAACTGTCAATCAGACTGTCAAGTCGGTAAGATTGTCCTCATTCTAGTGAAACCGCTCCAGCTATGACTACACCAGCACTTTTCATTTCCAAATACACCTTTTTTTTTCTCCTCTGCAGGTATTTATATGGCCAATTTGTTGAGATAAACAGCCACAGTTTGTTCTCAAAGTGGTTCTCAGAGGTACACCTGGGTCTTTTTTTTAATTTTTTTTTATGTTTTTGTTACTCGTATTGTCTCCTGTAGCTAATTATGCCTATTTTTCACAGAGTGGCAAGCTGGTCACAAAGATGTTTCAAAAGATCCAACAGCTGATTGATGACAAAGACGCTCTTGTGTTTGTTCTGATTGATGAGGTAAAATGAAGTGTATTTATTTCATTTTGATTTGCTTCTGTGTCTTTTATGTTTCTCTAAGACAGGAGAACTTCTTGCCAACTGGTTGTACTTTGTTACGTTGAAGTGTGATTGAAACGGTTTCTCTTTTGTGAACAGGTGGAGAGTTTGACAGCAGCAAGAAATGCCTGCCAGGCAGGAACAGAGCCTTCTGATGCCATTCGTGTGGTCAACTCGGTCCTCACGCAGCTGGACCAGATCAAACGGTCAGAATGCAAACCTTTCTTAGTGATTTTATTTGTTTTAAATTAGAGATCGACTCTGTACTAGTCTGTTGTAGTGGAGAGAGAGCAGTGTGAAAATGAAGCTGTTGTTTAACACATGGTTAAAAGCTTTCAGTAGAGACCAAAAGATTGGAATTGCAGAGAGAAGTGGTGGAAATGAGCCTCCTCTGTAGGGTATCTTGGTTCTCCCTTTAAGACAGAGGAGGAGCCCAGAGCTGAGCTCCTACACCTCTACATTGAAAAGAGCAGCTGATATGGTTTGGGCATCTAAACAGGAGGCTCTGAGGCAGAACCGGGGCATACTTGAAGACAATATGTCTCTTGGCTGACTTGGAACATAACATTTCCATGAGACGTAACCTTTTAGGGTGGCTGTGGAGACTGAAGTCTGAGTTTCTCTGCTAAAACTGCTACTGACCCAAACTTGGAGTGACAGAAAGTAGATGGATGGATTATTTACTTATTATGTCCTACTTTAAACAAGTTGTTCTGTGTTGGCTATTGGGCTGATATTTCAGACATTCCAATGTAGTGATCTTGACGACCTCCAATGTGACAGAAAAAATCGACTTGGCCTTTGTAGACAGAGCTGATATCAAGCAGTACATCGGACCGCCATCTGAAAAAGGCATTTACAACATCTACCTCTCCTGCCTGGAGGAGCTGATGAAGGTAATCCAGTAATCTGGCAGCTGTTTATTTCCACTTCTAAAGTGAAACACATCTGACTTAAATGTTTTTCCATCTAAAATTGCAACTACACGGTCACGAGGTGGGCAACCAAACTTGGCATACAGGTCTATAATAGATATTATGATGTCACCATATTGTGTAGTAACCACCTGACCAAAAAGAGCACTTTGCCAGTAGGAAACGAATGTCAGTTTCCTGAAATGTTACATACGTATGGCAGCCATCTGGTGCAGTGCACACCATGCTGTCCAGTGCCAGGCATTGTACCTTGCAATCTCTGTATGAGTGTTTGTGTAACTGAATGAAGACACTGTAAACTGCTCTTGATAAAAGGGCTACATAATGTACATATAGCAGTTTATTCCAACAAAATATTGATAGAACAATTTTTTAAAAAAAGTCACGGTGCAAAATACAATTTAAGCATATTTAAGGAAAGCGAAGCGGTACTGATTTGTAACTTGGGCTTGTTATGATGTTGTATAATATGATATTTTACTACAGTACACATCTAACTAGGCAGCTCATTCTCTTGAAATGGGGTCAACTTGAAAGATGTGAAATGTAAAAGTAAGGTCAGAGGTCAAATGTGACATATTTGGATGCAAATAAGTGCATCCAGGTGCAAAACAAAACAACCCCACGAGAACCTTTGGAGGAGGTGGTCTCCAAAGGAACTCCAGAGCGGTTTGTTTATTTTGTGAACGTGATCCAATCTGAACAGACCACCAAGTGTAAATTAAAAATTTGAGCTAAAAACATCCCAAAGTCACGTATGCTTTGTAATCGCAGTGCGGCAAAGGACTACAGATGTGCAAAGGTCTGTACGGGCCAGTGACTAGCTGTTAAATTAACATTAATTCTCAGTTTTCTCACACAGGACATTCTTCCTGTATTTAGGTTTTTTGCAGAAATTTCTTGACAGAAAAATCACAAGAGGCACTTTTAAAATTCAGCTTATGTAAATAAAATGCAATTTTGTTTTCCGACACGTCTCTGAGTTGTGATCTTGGATGTACACAGTGCCAGATCATCTACCCCCGGCAGCAGCTGTTTACCATGTTTGAGCTCAAGACTATGGGCTTTGCAAAGAGTGAGGTGTCCGAACACAGTCTAAACCTGAGGAACATTGCTATGTAAGTGCGCACTCCAATAAGCAGCATCTAAATCAGAGTGTGGGAAGCGAAAAGAGATGGAGGCCAATGCTCAGTTTTTTCTTTTTCTTTTCAGAAAAAGCAAAGGTTTGAGCGGAAGAGCACTCAGGAAGTTACCATTTATAGCCCATGCACTCTTTGTAAAGGTAGGTATTTGATTGTTTTCTCCTGACAAACATAAGATTCACATAGGCTTTTTAAAATGGTTTGTTGTCTTGCAGACACCAACAGTAACGCTTGAGAGGTTTCTGGAGGCTATGGGCCAAGCTGTGGAAAAACAGAAGGAGGAAAAAGCTAACTTGGTCAATGGTATCTGAACCTGCTGAAATTCCCACAGGCTGACTGATTGTGCCTTGTTTGTGGTTTAAAACCTATAAAACATCTTTTTTATAGAGCTTAATCAGTTCATTTGTCAGCACTACATTCAATATACATACACACAAATGCTATTTTAACAAGTGCTGTAACACAAAAGTGTTTATTCAGGTAATTTTTCTGGTGCTACTCTCTTAAATGACCAAGACCATATCTATGTCGACAGAGGAATTGTAATTTTAAGTTGTAGCCCCCAATGCTTGAATTTTTCTTTGTTTTATATGCTATTAACAAATATGTTTACTCTTTTCTCACTTCCAAAGTATTTAATATTTGTTGCTTTAACCATAACTGTTTCTTTTTGTTTTTCTTTTTTTTAAACCTATACTATTTGTGCACAGACATTAGATCAGTCAGTGTGTAGCTATGCTGACATGACAGCTTGTGAGTCCCACAATGGGCCAACAGACTCACTGGACAACAAATCCAAAATATAGTAAACATGTTGCTGTTTGTTATGAACGGTTAACCTGTGTGTGTTATTATGTGTTCTTGTTAATTGGTCCCATTCAAGGTCGCTTATTTCACCTGACAAGTTTGTAAGCTCAGCTGGCTGCGTCCCCTACAGAGGGGGTTTATGCCTGTGCATGAATCACTCGATGCAAAAAAACAAAACAAAAACGTGAGTGGACTTTACCCTTCACATACAATCTGCTTTGTGCTCTGTTCGCATGTTTGTTTGTTTGTTTGTTTGTTTGTTTTATAAATGAATGTGATAAATCCAATTTAAACTATCTGGGTTTGTTGTTTATGGTTTAATTTTGTATATAACATTGTAATAAACAGCATTGTTTCCTGATTGCAGTGTCTGATGCATTTTGGAGATTTTAATACACTACGTCCACCACTTGGGGGCGCAATGAGGCTGTAATGCAGTTCTAGACATAAACAGAATTCAGTTTATTACAGATTCTGATTTGCATGGTTGTCTCAGAAAGGGCAATAAGACAAGATGGATCACGATAAGGTGGCAATAAAAGCTAATTGCATATAATCTTGTGGTAAGCTTGTATCAACTAGATGAACAATGGTTTTTTTTTGGGAGGGTTACCAACAAAGTCCTGCAAATATCAAATGTTACCTTAAAACAAAGCAACAAAAGAGCAGTTCTACCTAATATTCCTCCTTTATGATACAGGCCCATGCACGGGAATTTAAAGTGATTCATGGTTATGATTTGGGACTGTGAGCTTTTACATGTTGCGGTCTTCCATTGTGAACTAAAAACCAAAAGGTTGAAAGATGACTGAGTTTGAAATGCGTCACTCCTGTACACAGTTTATACGAACAGATCGGTGGTTTCGTTGTTCGTATGAACATGTTTTGCATTCTGTGAATGCTCTGCTGCTTTGCATGTCAGCTGCCGGCTTCAAACAATGTGCCCTTTGTTTGTTGCTGGCAACAGCTTTTTCATTCCACTTCAAAGGTGAATCCTGTAGGCTGTTCCTGAATGTAAAAGGAAAGCAAATGTTGGATTTGTCTTCATTTGCACGCTCCAGACCTGCTCAATCATAACACTGTCACCTTTACAGTGACCTTTACTGCGTGTTTTATTAAGCTTGTAAGTATTTTATTGGTGGATTTGATTATGCTGTCAAAGGTCTATAATTAAGATGGGGAAAAAACGAAGATTTATGCTATAATTAAGACCAACCCAGAATGGATTTCCCCTCATGCATAAAGACTGCATTTGTGTGAATTGCCCCTTTAGTGCCATGTTATCTTTTATACCTAATTGTTTGGCTCCCATTATATCTATTTGTCAGTGAATTTTTGAGTAAGATGAATCACACGAGGGAGCTCAACTTGTCTCTAATCTGATCAGTGATTACAAAGGTGAGAGAAAAAGGGGGTAGTAGAGAAAGGGAGAGCTGTAAGAACGGGCACGGTAAATAAAACCATAATTGCTCTGTCTGCAGGCCTTTTTCTTTTCACTGTAGTCTCTCCAAAAGCAGGCAGCTGTTAAAAGGCAATCAAGCCAGAGAAGGAAGAAAAGTCAAAAGCCTTATTGTTATGGGGATTTTATCACTGTTTCAAGCAGACTTAAAATGTCAGAAAACTCCAAACAAAACAAACAGTCTGATGTTTATCCTCTCAACCGTTGTTCAGGTACATTGCTGAAAGCAATGGAATATACCTTTATGTGCCAATGGTGATTCAAATAGAGGGGTGGGGGTTAACTTACACTCTTACTTATATGCGCGGTAAGAGGAAAGTGAGCCAAGCTGCACACGAACTATGGAAATTATCACTCATCTCCTCTGAGTTTTTAAGAGGTTATGATTTACATTGCTGGTCTAAAAGTGTGATACTCAGTTGTTAGTTTAGAAATACTTTTTGCCTTTGCCAGCGTGGTAATCCACATCCATTGCACAAATGCATACTGAGAGCCCATAAAGCCGAAGCAGTGTTGGCTTTTCAATTCTTCTACATGGCAGCCTTTGATCATAAACTAGTGCTTTTATCCAAATGAACATTTCCCTCATAAGAAAACTGCAGCGCGCTCTTTCTGTCTCTCTCTCTCTGTATCTGTTCCCAGTCAAGACTGTCCTGTCAGAAATTATGAACAGTTGTTGTTTCTCGAGTCTGTTGAGATTTCTGTACCCCATACGTTTGTCATCCATTTAAGCAGGATGTTAGAAGGCGTAGGAGAACGAGGATGAAGGAGAGATACCTTGTAAAGAGACTGAATCCTGGGAGCCGGGCTGCATGAAGAAATTGTGATAATTAGGCGCAGCAAGTAGGATCAAAGGAAGCTGCCATCAATGAGCTATGCAAATGTCGACTCGTCCTGTCAACCGCAGACAGTGATCTAAGATTTCTGCGTCTTTGAGGAGTCATATAGCAGTCACACTGACAGAAAGAGCTATACTGCTGCACATTAAAGGTATGGCAGTAAAAGTGGGACGCTATCATACAGTACCACCCTCAGAAAGAATAACATGTTTCAGTGGCTCTGAGAATACATGCTCATCCACGCAGCTCTCCAACAACAAGGTTTAAGTGCAAGACTGTGATGTGACAGCAGCACGTGGAGGAGACAGCAGACAACAGTTTGTGTCTAGGTTTCCACGCAAAAGATCAAAGTAACACCTTTCTTGATTTCTTAAAGGATTTGTACGACCGAGGAACATTTACAAAACAGAAACATTAGCTTCACACTGAGCGAGACATTGCTGTAGTAAATTAATATTTATATAGCGCGTGGAATGTGTCCTGCGATTGGGCTCTTTTAACACTGTGCCAAAGGAAACAAACTATAAAAGTGCTGAGGAGCTTTTGAAGTCTGCTGGGCTGAAGTACAACATGTTCTTCCTGGCTGTCTTCAATAAACAATAGTTATCTTTGGCATCTACTGTGCATATATGAAAAACAAATACTGGAAACGACAATAGGAAGCCTATCCGTATTCCCACAAACCAAACAAACTATATACGCCACCTAACACTGATCCTCAATCATTCACGACACTAATCCAGAGCATCTGCAAGTAGTAAAATAGTCCAGCAATAATTGTGCTACAACAATTTTCTTCAAGGTTTTATAACCACAAGGCTATTTGGAGATAATTCACTTTTTTTATTCAGTTATTAACTGACCTCTGGTGTAAACAGAACTACAAATGACAGAATAATGAAAAGTATTTGCCATAAATATGAACCTACAAGAAATGAATTAGGGATAAAACATGAATGGAGTCAAAAGGAAGATGACACCAACAGAGGACATGGTTCAGCTTTCAACTGCTCATGAACTGCCAATAATTGTTTAACAGTCAAGAGAGACATAACCTGCAACCGGAAAAGGAATTGACTTTTCAAAGTAGAGGTAGAGGTGTGTTACAGCTGTACTAAGAGAACATACGAAAAATGAAAAACTATCGAAAGGAGAAATTGTACAAAATACAAAGTGTATGGAACGTGTTTCTTCGAAAGCAACTTTAAACTTTCCATTATCAAGATGACATTTTGAAATAACTCACAAGTTTTTTGTATTCAGTGGTGGAATAAATAGCATTTCCAATAAAAAAAAAAGCAACATCATAGCATACTGTCTTAAATTAAAAAACAAAAACAAAACGTTTGGACACACGCTGAGATTTGGTGTGATCTGTAGAGCTGTTTTGTCTGAATTAGGGAGCGGGTTGGGGGGTGACTTGACCAGGATAATGGTGGTGGGTATTGGAGATAATTTCATTTTATTATGCCTATAAGAAATAAGAATACTCAACTCTTGTAAATAATAATCATTATAAATGATAACCAGTTATAGCAACAAAAATCAATAAACTAACACCAATCAATTAAAAGAAATACCACCAGCCTATCTAATATCAGAGTAGGCAACATTTCCATTTTAAAAACCTTATCACGCATACGTGTATACATGGTAGATCAAATCTATTTCAAACCGAGTTCAACTTGCACCAATGGTGTGTTTTATTTTGTAAAAGCCTGCACCAGAAGTGTCCCTCTCTTCTTCTGCAAGCTTGACGCCCCGCTCTGCCGTTTCTGTTGCGTTCAAGCAGTTTCACATCAGTTGAACGGGAGTAAAGCTGGAAGCCAGACTGCGAGCGCACCCTGAGCCGCTTACAGATCATTTTAGCGATTTTTATCAGATCATCTCATCGCTGACAAGCGACGCTTCAATGATAGCGCGATATATGTGCGCACCTTTGGATGAAGTTGGACTTTTCTTCTTTCTAAACTAAAAACAATGTGATCATGTAGAGTAAGAAGTGGCGGATTTCGGAGTACATTTACTGATCCAGGGAAGAGGGATTTAAAGAATGGGCAAACTTCAGTCAAAACACGGTAAGACAGCAAAACACATATATAAATAAATAAATAAAAAATAAAGTGAAATGACACAATTTGAATATTGTAGCCTAAAAAAATCTAACTAGTGTCTCTTTTACATCCTCGTGCGTCGTGATCCGTAGCGTGCAAGCGCAGAGAGAACCCTGAAGGTGAGGATAAACGCACATCATTTTTGCGTAATGGTTTGTAAATGGTAACGGTCTAATAAACCGCAGGACTAGCCTGAGATTTGTACCTGCTAATCGCTGTGTATTCTCCGCGTCTCAGGAGACAGTTTTGTGGTGAACGCCTTCCTCCGGAGAGGGATGGAGGAATGTGAGAGGTACAGTGCGGCGGATCAAAAGCTGAAGAACATGCAGGTAATACTACACTTATTAATTATTTTCTTACTTTCTTCAAAACTAAGCTGATCTTCTATTGATTCAAATTTTAG